GGAGCTTTCTCCAGGCACCTCCGGCACATCTGGAGTTAATCCTGCAGTGAAGGGGAAACAGAGGGACAGAGAGCTGGAGGCGGAGACAGAGACAGCAGAGAGAGATGGAGGGGGACAGAGACAAGACAGGAGAGGCCACCCAGCAGAGGTGGGGAGACAGGGTTCAGGGGAAAGAGACTCCAACAGACAGACACGCTGGGACAGACCTTGGGAGAGGGGGGCCCTGACCAGGCGCCTGAGGCCCTAGGCAGGGCTGGTTCCAAGGCCCCCACCTTCTTGTACCTGGTGGGCAAATGAGGCACCTCCGCCGGCTACCCACTCAGGCCTCCACAGGCATTTCACTGAGGAGCGGTCAGTGACCCAGGGAAGGTCTGCAGGGGAGACTGAGCTTTCAAAGGGATGGGGTGGGGGCAGGGAGGGGTCTGGACTCCAGACACTGAGGACTGTGGCTGAGGGCCCCCTGGGGTGGTGGATGGAGACCCACACTCCACGTACCTGTGGACCCTGACCTCCACCCCGGCCCAGAGCTGGGCCCAGCCAGAGGGATCAGCCCTGGGGCTTCTTCAGTGGCCTAGGGTGGGGGTTTACGGGGGTGCTGGGCCCTGGGCTGTCCTGGAGGAGTGAGGCCTGCAGCCCCTCCTGCGTCCATCCTGGAGATTCTGGCCGGAAGGCTGGGCAGCAGGCCCTCAGGCGGGGAACAGAAGGCCTCTGTCCCCAGTCAGCTTCCTGCTGACCTCATGTAGGAGGGGAGGTGGGCCTGGCCCAGGAAGGGAAACTGCTACCTCTGAGCTTCTGGGTGGGGGCCTCTGGGAGAGGCTCTGCTGACCCCCAACAGCGGGTGTGTCTAGAATAGTGGTCAAGGAGCGGCCCTGCTTCTGGCCCTGGGCCCCAACACCCTTGTGAGCAGGGAAAGATCCGGTCACCCTCACCATGGGCTGGGGATGAGGCCCGGTGAGCTTGCAGCTGGCTCCCTGACACCCCACTCAGGCCAGCCGTCCACAACTGCTACAAATGGCCCGGCAACGATGCCCCCCTTCCTCGGGCAGCCCTGGGACACTCTGCCTGCTGCTGGGAAGGGCTCCTGCCTGGGCATCTGCCTTGAACCTGCCCCTCCTCCCACCCCCCTCCTGGAAACCTCAGTCCCTCCTGGTCAGGCCCTGAAGCAAAGGAGCCCAACAGGTTTACGGTGCTGGGTGGGTGCTGGGCTCAGCGGGCTGCTC